ATATATGATAGTATTTGTGTTAACTTACATTATTTATTGTCGCATATGGTATTAAGTCTTCCCAATCCAACAGACTTTTCCTCTTCCAGGAAATAGCCCTAGGAATATCATTTGAAGTTTTTAATGCATATGTGTGCATGCTGGGGAAAGCCTCGAATATCCAAATCTACAAACAATATAATAACAAACATTAGTAATTGTTAAATAATTAATTATAATTTTGAAAACATTATATAGAAATTCTTACCTTAAAGGCCCAAACAAAGCCTGACAAAGTGTATTTCGACCCATCATCACGCAAACTTTTGCGATCATCAAAGGCAGACGACAACTTAGTCCAGGTAGCTTTCCATATATACGAACCCACGGAAACAGATTCCATGCATTTAGGTCTCTACCAAATTAGCTCCTGAGGAATAGGTTGTCTGCCCTCTCTGCCTAAAAAGCCGGCATACAAAAGTACTAGAAGGCATACTCGGACAACATCGACGTCATTCATCCGAGTAAAACCATCTTTCTTATTAAACAATTTCTTCAGGTCGTCGACGTGTAAGTTCGGCTTCTCTATTGACTCATCATGAAAAACCCGGGATAACCATGATGGGCGGGTGATATGACGAGTGTACTGGCCTACATCATCGTGTCCGAATCGTAGACCAGTGATTAAGCAGAACTCCTTCCGCCCAAAACAAGTATACGCCGGTGGAAAATGAAACCATATCTCTTCCTCACCACGTTGTATACTGTCGGGTAGATCGCTAGTCATGGTCTGAAGCCACAAATGGGTCAAATTAGCATCTCCACCCAGATGTTGTACTCTCAGCCATGGCCCGAAGCAGGATTCCTCAAACAATTTTCTTTGTGCAGGTGAAAGCTTCGAAGCAATTGTAGTGGCTAGGCTAACTTTATTCCTTAATGTCAATGAAGCCGAAAAAAATTTCTACAAAAACAATAAACATACCAAGTTAGATATACCAAAAACTACACTGTGAAGATATACCAAAAACAATAAACATAAAGAGTAGTAGTTTATTCTTGAAACTAAAATTTTCAACACTGTTTTATCTTTTGGTTGAAATGAAAATCGCAACGAGAGAATGACTATCGCAATACGAAAATGACTATCGCAACGAGAGAATCGCAACGCGAAATGAAAATCGCAATGCGATTTTGGTTTCGCGTTGCGATTATCTCGTTGCGATTTTCATTTCGCGTTGCGATTCTCTCGTTGCGATTTTCATTTCGTGTTGCAATTCTCTCGTTGCGATAGTCATTTTCGTGTTGCGATTTTCATTTTCATGTTGCGATTTTAAGTTTAGAAACTATTCTTCTTCTGCAAATTGAAACTTTAATGGATTGCATTACTTCAACCAAAAGATAAAAACAAAGACAAATACTAACTTCACAGGGTTAAAGACTAAACAATTTAGTAGCATTGGCAGCAATCGAATGAATTTAATAAGAAATCTAAGTGAAATGGTTAATCTATTATTGAAATTACCAGTAAACTTATCATCAATTTCAATATGAAAAACTTAAAATAATGCAAAAAATTCAAAATAAAAATAATTAAAAAAACTAACCCTCGGAGGTTGATTTTCCATTTCTGAATGTTTGTGAGGGATTTCTGACCGTGAATGGTTGTGAGGGATTTCGCCGGAGATGGGGACGGAAATCTTCGAAGATGGGGACGGATTTCGCCCTAGAGAGTGAGAGATGGAGATGGGACTGAGTTGTGATTTTAGGTTTTAGGTTATGAGTTGCGATTACAAGATATACTGTGGACGGTTCAGTGTTCCGATAATTAATATTCGTGTTTGGAATTTGAAAATAAAATAGGCGTAGCGATTCTAATGGCGCTTTAAAAATCGCGTTGCGATTTACGGATTGTCGTTGCGATTTTACGTATTGTCGTTACGATTTACGGATACGCGTTGCGATTTTACAGATACTCGTTGCGATAGTCAGAATCGCGTTGCGATTTATATGTTCGCGTTGCGATTTTCATATTCGCGTTGCGATTCTGGAAAATCGCAATGCGAATTTGTACTATCGCATTGCGATTCTTCATAATCGCGTTGCGATTATGGGAACTGATTTGCGATTCTGGAGATCGCGTTGCGATTTTTATTTCGCATTGCGATTTTGTTGGTCATTTTGGCAAATCCAAAAAAAATTGGTTAAAATCGTATATTACAAGGTATTTTTGGTCACTGAGGTGATTTTCTCAAAACTAAATGATTAAATCTTTAAATAGATACCGTTTTATATTCACCTTAAATTTATATATATATATATATATATATATATATAATCCTTACCTCTGTGAAAGGATTTTCTCCCCCACGTTAATTGAGCTTGCTAAGCAATATTATCCCCCGTCTTTAATAATATTTAGTGCTTTTAATGAGTTGAATAACTCATGAGTTTTCGATTCAGTCTAAATTTGAGTTCGACTTGAGACCTTAATGAATTGATTCGAACAAGATTAAACTGGATTCGATAAATTTACGAACAATTCGTTAATTTTTTAAAATTCTTTAGTAGTAACCATAAAAAATTATTTTCATTTAAAAAAAATATAAACAATAATGACTAATTTGTTGCTCTCTCTGTCACATTAAATTTGTTCATTATTAATATTTTTTATCAATTTTTTATCTTTGACTCATTTTTATTTAAAATTTATTATTGATAAAAATATGATAAAATATATTTTAAAAACCTTCAATCAAGTTGTTTTTAAATATATATTTTATAGAATTTAATTTTTTGAAATATTTAAAATAATCATGATCAAAGTGTAAAACATCTATCTTTTAAAAAGTCAATAAGAGTCAATTTTTATAGGAGAAGGTATTAATAGATAATAAGAAAGATGATAAATTAGTAATTAATGATTATTCAATTTACTAATTTACTATTTCACTAATTTACTAGTTTGATGCGTTTTTGGATTGTTACTTTACAGAAGACTTTGTAATTGTTTCACACTTTTTTTCATATTTGTTCTAGGTTAAATTTATTAATTTATGTTTATATTAAGTCTATATCTATATATATATATATTAAAACCTCTATAAATAGGGGTGTAAATGAACCAAGCTTGAACGAACAAGGTTATGATCGTGTTCGTTTATTTATTTTTGAAGATGTTCATTTTTGGTTCATGTTCGTTTAAATTTTCAATATCGTGTTCATGTTCATTATTTATTTTTGAAGGTGTTCGTCTTCGTTTATTTTTTGTTCACGAAATATGTTCATTTAATGTTCGTGAACGTGTTCGTTTATATGTTCATGAATGTGTTCATAAGCATGTTCGTTTAGCGTTCGTTTAATGTTTGCGAACGTGTACGTGTTCGTTTATATGTTCATGAACGTGATCATGAACATGTTCATTTCGTGTTCATTTAATCTTCGTTTAGCATTGTTTTAGTGTTTGTTTATCATTCATTTATATATTCGATTTTTAATTTCATTTGCAAGCTAAAGGAAAATGATAAAAGTACACCATTGGTGCTTAAACTCCTTAAAATTCATAGTTTAAAATGTAACTTTTATCATGTGTTCTATTTAATCTTTATCTTTACCAATATTTAAAATGTAAAGAAAAAGGAAAAAGGAGAATCGGGTAAACGAGTTTGTTCATGAACATAAATGAATGAGTTGATAAACGAGCTCATAAATAAGCTTATAAACTAGCTCATAAACGAGCTTATAAATGAGCTTATAAACAAGCTAACTCATTAACATAAACGAACCGAACACACCTATGTTCATGTTCGTTCATTTATTAAATGAACACATTTTTTTGTTCATGTTCGTTTATTTAGCTTAACAAACGAACATAAATAAACGTTCTAAGAACAGTTCACGAATAGTTCAACGAACGCTCTTTTCATTTACATCCCTATCTATAAATTATAATGTCGGGATCAGATAATTTCATTTATTTGAATAGGTATTAACTAATCGGTAAAACGTAAATTAAATAATGTCCATGTACAATATGACTAATTAAATATAATTTCTACCCCTAGAAAAATAAAGTTCATTGTAATATGTAGTACTAATTAAAACTTAACGCAAATTCATGTATGGTAAGGAAATCAACCACCATATAAACATTCCTAATTAGTCAATCCAAATAAAAACCATCCAACCATGACTTCACATCTAAAAGGTGGCAAAAAATAACCACTTCTCATCTAAAAGGTATTCAAACATAAAAATAGAATCATATTTTACTATGTTGTCCTAGTTATATTTTTATTTTATAAAATTATTAATTTATAATATTGAAGATATCATAAATTTATATAAGGGCTTTCGGAAAATTATTATCTTATTCATTCATCAAAATTATTAATTTAAACCTTGGGCTCAAGTCAAGAAAGAAAAAAATTATTTTTTAGAGAGATTATTAATTTATCGAGTATTAATTTATAGAAGTTTTTCTATAATATTAGTAGGTTTTACCTATAGTTAAAAAGATAAGGTAACAATTCTAGTGAGCTGAAGGGGTAATGAGTTGAGTCGAACATCAAGTTTTTTAATAAGTACGAGTCAAGTAAAATTTTAACGAGCTTAAGGGAAACGATTTGAGTAAAAAAATTTAATAATCACGAGTTGAACACTTTTTGAGATAACTGACTCATTTGATAAACACACCTAATAATACTATTTGATTTTTACAACTTTTAAATTTTATTTTATTTTAGAAAATCAAAATAATGTGATGTGAAAAAACTTAAATGAAATGGTCTATGCCATCGTTGTCATGACAAATCATGTTTATGTTACCGATCCACAAAGGATTTAATGATTGAGCGATATAATTAAATATAAAATTAAAATTTAATATTATATTTGAAGAAATTAAAAGTTAATGATATAAATATAAAACAGATACAATTTGGAGGTCTCTGGTATAGTTTTCCCAAAACGTTATTAGATTACATAGAGAAGTTAATCAAGATTAGATTACATAGAGACCAAAATTTTGTTTTGCACTTTGTTTGTCAATTCCGTGACAGATCGGGGACACAGCAATTTAGTTTCAGATAGGGAAAAGTTAATCAAGATTTGATTTTGTGAATTTTCTTGGTTCTGGGTACAAGTTAAAAACTGAAGAAAAGGGATTTGATCGCAATTCATGGAGAATTCGAGTAAAAATAACGGGGAAGAGACAAGGAATCAGACAATTACTTCCACTTCTTCAACAACATCCTCCGATGATTACCGTTTGTTTGGTCGTCAAGGTTCTCTTCACCAGTTTCTGGGTGGTGGTAAAGGTAAAAAAAAACTCTTCTTTTGCTTTATTTTCCAATTCCACCAAGGCTTGTTATTGTTTTTTATGAAATGAACTGAGTTGATTCTTGGGGAACTTTGATATTTGATGAAAAAAATTGAAACATTGCTTGGTAAAGGGAAAAAGTTACTCTCTTTTGGGAAGATCTCATTTTTTTTATATAATACTTGCTCATTTGTTCATACTGTCTAAGCAAACTGATATGCAACTTACAATTTGATCGAGTTTTCTTCTCTTTAATGCTGTTTTGCTTTATTTTGGTTATCTACATGGATTGTAAAAAATAACCAAATCCCATAACTGGAACACACTATTTGCTAAATAAAGAAGTTATGATGCCTAAGTGGAAATTTGTTTTCTGGATTGAAAATTTTCATGTATTGTGAATTGCAAATTTTGATGTTGCACCGAGTTGTTGCATACAACCTTTGACAATGTTTAGCCGAATCCATCTGCACACATTCACAGTGAATACTTGACACTTGTGAAGTTTTGGAATCAAACTGTATAGAGAAACAAATCGAGAGTGACTCAGTTTTGAGTAAAATGAAGTTCCTGGCGAGATTTTGGGTTTAAGGGTAGTGTGATTATTTCTTGTGGTCTTGTTAAATCACTCATTTTAGTGAAATTTTTCTATGGGCAACTCGATTAAGAGAAATTTCACTAAAAGTAGATGGTATACGAAGACCACTTGAAATACACACTCGATCCTTATACTCAAATTGTCCTATGAGCTTCCTTTATTCTTCGGTTCGCTTACTCTGTTACTCCCTCGTTTCTACTTGATCCCTGGTCATATACTGTTAAGAAATATTACATAAAACCTTGTGTGCCTAGTTAATTGTTTTCCCATTTTATCTTTTACAAAGCTGAATCTTAGGTTTATCATGATAGTGGCCAATGCGACATTGAGAAGTTAAGCATCTTAATGACAAGAAAAAAAACAATAATACATACAGGGATTTACATGGTTCATGAACCAAGCAGATATGCTAAAAAAAGGGAGAGTCATGCAGAGAGTTAATTGGGGAAGAGTGCAGATCAATTTGGTGCATGCGTGTGTGCACTGAAATCACTTTGACCATGCATTTAAAATATCCTTAAGCATAGTCAAAATGTTGCAAGCTACAATTTGGTGTATTATTAAGATTTTCATGCACCAATTCGGTGCATGGTAAGAAATTTCTAATGACCAATCTAAACATCTCCATCTTGGTGTGATAATTTTTTTTCATACAACAAAATGGTGAAGCAAACTTGTTATTCTTTTGCAATGGTCTAGCTGTTGTTACATGATTCATGAACCAAGCAGATAAACTAAAATAAGGAGGTAAGCTAAAAAATAAAGGAAACTCATGCAAAGAGTTTATAGGAAAGCATGAAGAACAGTTTGGTGCATGTGTATCATGTATGTGCACTGAAATCACTATTTGACTATGCATTGAAGACTGCCATGAGCATAGTCAAAGGTTGTTTGCAACATTTGGTCCATTATTAAGATTTCCATGCATCTATATGGTGCATGGTAAGGAATTTCTAGCCACCAATCAACAATCTCCATCTTGGCTTGATAATTCTTTTTCTTACAACAACATGCTGAAGCAAACTTGCTGTTGTTTCGCAATGGTCTAGTTGCTTATTTGTTTCTGCAAGGTGAATCCATAGAATATCCTCCACCTTTCTTTTCCATCTCTCTTGAAGGAGGTTCATGGTGTTTCTTGGTGGAGAAGAAACGGAGTTGGTGACCTTCTTTAGTTGTTTGCTCCAAATTGTGGATTGACATATAAAAATCTGCACTGAGTTTTCCCTGATGGGATACAATCCTTGGAAGCCAACTGTCCTTTTACCTGTGCTCATTCAATTTTATCTGTCTTTATTTATTCTATTTTTGTGTGAAAGTTTTTGGTTTTAACAGTTCTTCACCAACATTCTTTTTACATGATTACTAAATGGTGTGATGTTGGCATGTTCCTGTTGTGTAGTATGGTACTATTTCTGTAAGATATTTTTGATGCTCTGGCACATTATCTTGTCACCCTTATAGAGCAGTGCATTTGTTTTATGTGATAAATGAACTAAATTTTCTTCTCATGTTCATAGCGGCTGATATACTCTTGTGGGAGCAGTGGAGTGTTTCCGTCGGTGTCATTGTTGTTGCTACTGTTGCTTGGCTCATCTTTGAGCGGTCTGGATTACCATTCTTATCAATATGTTCAGATGTTTTGCTGATATTAATTGTAGTATTGTTTTTCCGTTCCAACTATGCTGCTTACAGAGATGGGTAATGCTATTATTGCTTTTTTTTTTTGTGTTGATTTCCTTTTAAATACTGAAGCGATTTTGACACTGAAATTCGCATATTATTTGAACAGACAACCACAAACATTACCAGAACTTGAACTGTCAGAGGAAATGGTTACCAATGCTGCAGCATCGTTTCGCGTTAAAATCAACAATGTGCTTCTTATGGCTCATGAGATAACTCTTGTCAAAGATTTTCGGATTATTTTCAAGGTCAGTTATATCAGTTGTTGTTAAACTAAATGTTCTTTGCTGCAATATACACTGACACAAATGGAAAAGGAATCAATTTGAAATAGAATTGTATGTATAGGCATTATGGATCTGGTATTGCAGCCTGAATTATGATTAAGTTGATATGTGATTTTTTTACTATTATCATTAAAAGTAGTCGATAGAATAAGGGGTGTGTTCAGGTGTGGGAAGTTCCTAGTGGTTTTGATAATTCTGCTTACCTTCACATTAATCCCCCAAACCTCCACCCTTTCGAGGCCAAAATCTAATAATTTTAGGGATTTTGGAGTTGTGTATTTTCCCACTTTTTAATAAATAGCTGCTAAGAATATGTATCCTCTCCATTTCCCTCTGTTGTCTTCTCCTGAACAAGGTTGATCAACAGAACTTGCCAATTTATACGTGATTTCATGCTTGAACCCCGTTTTCTCTTAAACAGTTGATATTTCTTCCAAACTGCTCTTCCAGCAAGCACTTTTCTATTCATTCTAATCTTTTGTGTTTATTGCCAAGATGTTTTGCTAATAGTTTGCAATTGCATCATCCTTTTATTTTCCTAGTCATGGTATTTCTATAACGTCCTGGATTCTACCCCACTTTTGCAATATCACTCGACCCGTTTCAGTCTACAAGCGTCGATCATTTAATTATTTTCGAAGGCTAGGGGAGGTTGTTGCTTGATAAATTTTTCGAACTTGGTTCACTTGGCAGGTTGTGATATGTCTGTGGCTCCTGTCTACCATTGGTAGCTATTGTTCTTTCTTCACACTTGCCTCTATAGGTAAGCAATTTCATCTATCTACTGAATGCACATTCATCTCCATTTTGATTCATAGGCATGATTAATTGTTACTATTGTTGGTTTTACTGAGAGAACATTAAATGCAACTAAATTGGATGTTTAGCGACAACCACTTTTGGTTTATTATAGTAAACAACCATTGATTTGTTTTGTTAAAATGTCAAAAACCTGATATAAAGTTCTTGTCACAAACTTTTAAGGCTCCAGCTTAATTGAACTCATGAGTCGTTTTTTGTATCTGTGCCTTTTGTTCGCCAAATAATTGCCAGACGGAAGGCATTTTGCTAATGAACTTTCTCTTTGACGTATAAGGAGTCTGAAATTTTTTACTCATTTCCAATGGCAGGAACCATCCTATCGGTAACTCTTCCTGCTGTCTACAGTAAATATGAAGAGCAGGTGGATAAATACTGTGGAATGATCCAACGAAAGTTCTCACAACAGTATAAAATTGTGGATGATAGTGTGACAAACAGAATACCCCGCAGTTTATCGAAAGATAAAGACATCTAATTCTCACAATTTATATAGAGGTTATGAATAAACGTACTTTAATCTTGGAGTTTGACCTCTGATGCAAAGTCGTCGTTATCTTGCTTCAACCTTCAATGAAAGATGATTCTTGTTACCTGTTATGTTAGCTACATGTTTCACCGTCAATTGGGTTGCAATATCTGCGAAATGCTTCTTCCTAGTTAGAGTGGGAAACGGATCTCTGCACCCATGCTATTCCTGGACTTCTGCAAAACACATTTCTTGTCACCGATTATCGAAGAGCATGTATGTTCTGCTCGGAGCTTCTGCGTTTGTTTGTTTGTATAGTTGGTCAATGGTTGTGTAATTGAGCCAATGTATCAATAACTGCAACCAAAGAAAATACAAATGAGGAAGAAATTGACAATTAAAATATAAGAATCATATTTACATAAGTCATGGGCAATTGCATGCTTGTCATGGGCTTTGAGGTCTTCATCATAATCTCATAAATAGGTCTAATTACTTGAACCCAAAATCTCTTTTTAATATATAAGAATCATATTTACATAAGTCATGGCATACTTGCATGCACTTGTCATGGAGGCTTTGAGGTCTTCATCATAATCTCATAAATAGGTCTAATTACTTGAACCCAAAATCTCTTTGAAAGAACAAGACTTCTTTAAATCACTAAAATCATTGAATGAGTTTTAATGTACAATTATTGATAAACATATGTATCATTAAAGTTCTTGATTAGTACAACATAATCTATATGGTTAAATGATAAAATATATAATATAATAGTACATAACATAATAATGCGCAATAAAATATTGTATTATATAATATACATATCATTAACTATCATAATACATATAATTTAATTTGATTAATGGTTGAATGGTTAGATGAAATTGGCTTATAAATTAGGATCAACAAGTTCAATGACATTACTTTCATACTAATAGTTGTCTGAATCGACTCCTCCTAGGTATTACTTATCATTTTGCTGGAATGGTAGTTCCGCACTTATTTTATCACTTACTATAAATTTTCTCATTCCAATCTACGACATCACTTTTAATAAGTTTGTCTTAATACTTTTATTCGTTGATTCAGAAAACACTTTTCTAGTTTATACTACAAAGACGAATATGTTCATCACTCGAACATTTTCATGCACATTCAAGGCTTGATATACTGTACTTAATAGAGATTTCAACACTAGATTTTTTATCACTTCGGAAATTTTTCTCATATTTATCTTCGTTACACACTCATTATTCAAGGCTAACATGTTAACGTATTGTTCAATGATGGACGAACAATATCAGAGTCTCAGTCTACCAGTACATTTTTCAACATTTGAGAGAATATAGGAATCAACCAGATTAACCTAGAACCGACTAAAGTTTAGTCAATAAACTCTAAGTTTAATATCACTAAATGTAACACCCTCAACCTGTAACACTCTCAGACTGATACGGGTGACCCGATACGATGTGTCACATTAAGTCCACCAAAACGACCCACAATAAAAATTCAAGAAATGTTTTTGTTAAACAATTTAAAAATTGTAACACCCTCAGACCGATACGAGTGACCCGATCCGATCCGATCTGAGGTGTCACATTAAGGCCAACAAAATGACCCACAATAAAAATTCAAGAAATATTTTTTTGTTAAACCATTTAAAAACTTTAAAACAATTTATAAACAAATTATACAAATTCAGAAATCCTTAATAAACTCTAAACAGAATTCAATTATATACAATATCAAACAAGTTTCAGACACTAATATAAAAAAGTGACCTACGTACCCCCGAATTACACATGTATTGTACTCCGCAAGCAACGCCGATGGAATTCCCATCACTGATGTCGATACAGCACATGATCAATTCTTTAATCTGAAATGGGTGGGTAATAGAATGAGCTCTGGGAAGCTCGGTAATACAAAACTACCATATGATGCTAAAGGTCAACCACATGTACGGTAAAGCATGAAATTCCTTATTTATCCATGTAAATATATGCCATACTGATGAGTTGAGGTTTCGCTAATTAATTCTTCATGTAACATTCAGGAAACTTACAGTTTAGAGGAAACATTCAGAGAGACAAATTCTGAAGATGGTGTTTGGAGTCTAGTGTGTTCCAACAAAATAAGAAATAGTAGTTTATTTCAGTAAAACGAATTTTTTAAAAACACAGTAATACCCTCCACCCAAGCACCTCCATATGTAGTTCCCTAGAATTGCATCCATAAAGTCTTACCCTAGGCTCATTGGGCGTAGGAACCAACCTAAGGGAATAACTTGGGGCCTTAAAGCCTACCCAAGGAATACCTTGGGGCCTAAGAGCCTACCCAAGAGAGTATCTCGAGGCCTAATAGCCTACCCAAGGGTCACCTTAGGTCCGTAAGAAATTACAAGCTTGATCAAAGCTAAACCACGAAACTTAAGAATACATCCTAATATGAATAAAATTAACAGTAACCAGTAATATTAGAAATCAGGAGACATATATATTTGTATCAGAAAACATAAATTAAAGATTAGGGTTTTATTTCAAATATCCAAGTCATACATCTAAAATAAGAGAAAACATCAATGTGCATAAGGAACACACTTGAGGATTTAGATATTTTTCAGAGGAACTTGGTAGCTATCATGAATGAAGAACATGAAAATTATATAGATCAATTGGATTTTAGGAACGAGGTCCCTATTTAAAAGGGTTTGATTACTAACGGAACTAATCAAACATTCAGAACTTGATGTTTCATGACCATTTAGGATTCGGGTGCATCAGAAAGGTATTCTGGAACTTTACATCAGAATTACTAAAAATTCATATATGATCAAGAATGATTCCATTATATGAGCCATCAGGGGCATTTTAGACATTTTGATTTTGGTAGAATTTTTATTAAAATAACCCATTAAAGGTAAACTGATAATTTGCAGTATTTTGAATTTATATCAAATTCTTAGGATTTTGAGTTAAATCGAACTAACATATCCATATACTGCGATGCTTGCCAATCAGTCATACCGATATAATTCAAGAGTATTCATTCCTTAATACTGACAACATTAGTTGAATTGATCACCATCAAAATCGCCATTAAACATATTTCGACGTGCTTGGGTCATGCTCTAAATCCTCTAAGGGCAATACAACACTTAAGTTTGTAGTTTTTCCAGAGTTTATCCAATGACATCCACTTATTCATAGGTCATGAGGGTATTTAGGTCATTTTATTCCTCGAGGTATTTTAGTTATTTCATTTGATTCAATCTTTTCAGAAAGTTCAGTCACTTCAAACAATTTATACGTAAAGGGGACTTTCGGTAATTTAGTCTCCGGGTGTTTGCTCAAGAACCAGAAATTCTAGTTCTTGTAACTTCTCAAAGCTTAGGAATTAATTATCTGAAATTTTCTAATCATATAAGAAATTTAATCAGTAGGTCCATATTTTTATCAAGTCAAAATAAATTTCTAGGTCAGTTTCACTATCATGGGAGATCCATGTCTCTATTCATTTCAAGGGTATTTCCATAATTTCTTAACCATGTATTTTCAGTATTTAATCTTTAACGAGAATAATCAAATTTTATGGATCCTGAGAGTAATTCCTTTATTACCTAATTACTATCCTTGAAATTATTTCTTAACGATCTTCTAGTTTCTATACGTTTCAATCGAGTCTTAACCAATTTAATATCATTTTCCCATACTCAGTACAAATTTAATAATATTCATCAGGATTTACTATACCAACCATTTTAAATCATGCATCTATTAATTACCAACATGTATCATAAAGCATGCATATGGAAGTAGAGTATTACCTTAATTTCTGAGCCATATCGATTCAAAAATTAAACATTATTCGATCGCTATCACCCTTGATTTCGACATCCCATAATATGACAAAAATGAAACTTAATCGGGAAAACTATTTGAATCGAAAGATAAAACACTTAAAACATCTTAAGGGTTTGAATTTGGTGAAACATACTTTGGATTCGGACTCAGGTTGTCGAAAAACATAAAATATGACATTTTTGAAAAGTTAACATCCTATTACTCCAAAGGCACTCACACAACAAAATCGACTCAGATCAAACAAAAATAAACTGAAAACCAAATAAAAAACGGTAAAAGGTCGGAGGTCTCACCCAACGATAATCAAAGAGGGCAACACTGGTGGAGTGAAAGATTTGATAGGGTTTTGGTCAAAATTACTCGAGGAACTCAGGGGTGAAGGTGGTGAGGTGAAACAGCGATAGAATCGAACGAAATCACATTAGACGGAAATGAAGAAAAGGGGTTTTTGAAGAAATGGTCCTTCATAGTAAAAGGTGGAGTCTCATGGTGAGAGTGAACTTCGTTTTGATCGGCCTAGCCTGGTGCTTATATTGGTGTCGACGCTGTCGAGCACCACCAGCTCATCGGCGATGAATCAACAAAAAAAGTGGCGGGCAACATTTATCTCTGATAAGCCTCCAAACAGATGTCTACGACAACCAACAGGGAGAAACAATGAATGAATAGAGGGGTTTTGATCGTGAGGTCGTAGTGGTGCTGATTGTGCCAACGATGTATGCCACCGTTGGCCGGAGAGAGAATAAGGGTGAGGGCGATGAATAGGCTTAAATAATTAGGGATTTGTTTTTTTTCTCGATTAGAATGAGGGTTGATTTGGCATGTTAAAAATCGAGTTTGGAACTGTTTAAGAGATATTTTTAATAAAATAATCTTAAATAGTATCCTAGCCTTTATGGTAGGAGTATGGTTAGTCATACCCTATCCTTGGTTTCAAATCTCCATTGCAACACCTTTTCTTGTTCTTCTTTTTTTCTTAGGTGGAATAAGAGGGTCAAAATATAGTTTAGGTCCTTGAACTTTTAGGAATTCCAAAAACAACCCTAAATTCTTCAAGATCTCAAAATTTGGTCTCCAAAATACACTAATTAAACATTTAAAATTTAGCTTGTAAATTGGGGTGTGACAACTCTCCCCTCCTTAAAAGAAATTTCATCCTCGAAATTTATCTAAGTTAAAGAAAACCATAAATTGAGCTTTCATCAATTTTTCAATCTCTTAAGAAGATTTTAGATTACCATGATCTCTCCGTTGAACCTTAACTAGTTGAATATGCATACTCGTCAGAACTTTTCCTTATCATAAATCTAAAATCTGAACAAAATTCTCATTGTAGAGCTAATCATACATTAATTATAAACCCTTAATCAGAGTAACACTTACTTACCTTTAATGCAACATACAAATATAACTGTTTTCTTTT